ATCACCTATTTCATTGAGAATTTGTCAAGTATTAAATAAGATGAAACATTTAAAGCACTTAGTTCAATGCCTACCATGTGACAATTACTCAATAAATGTCAGTGAATCATACAATACTGTGCCTTGCAGCAGTATTACAAAATTGTCGTGTGTGATGTTAGAGAGAAAAATAACACATGCATTTGCTTACTGTTTCCAGAGACTTCATTGCAATTTAAAAGCTACATCTTTGTAGTACTGTTAATGGTACCTCCACCACCAATTCCTGCTTTCAAAGGGCTCTCAGATCTCTTAGAGCAAGAATATCAGTAAAACTTCATAGTGAGATACCCTATAACCTCCTAAATGATCCAGAAAACATCAAGCTTCATACATGACCTGTCCACTGTTGAACTTACATTTGACCATCCCCTCTGAGGCTCTAGGAACGTGGTGTTCACATGTGCTCTCCCAGCCACGACCTGCTGAGTAGAGCAGGCCAGTTATCCAACATATATTGATCTATCATAGCTGTTTAAATATTTTCTAGCATTAACTTTATTAGAAATCATCTTTTCCCTACCATCTTCCCCTACTGCTCATGCTCATAAACCCAAAAAAATGCTTTCATAAAAGCAAACAATTCCATCAAGTCAATGTTACTTAATACCTTCAACCTGAGACAGGAGAAAATGGACCCAATGCTAGAGAAGGAGACAACGTCGTCTTGATGCCAAGAGAAGTTGGGATTGTGTACAATTGAAATTGAGCCACAAATGAGGTTTTTGATTCAACACAAGAGGTTGTTTTGGTTCAGAATTTAATCAGTTGTTTGGTGAGAAAAGGCCATGAAACTGGTTTACCAAAGTAAGAGAAACCAGGGTCTCTGCTCTTAGCCAAGCCCAGATAAAATCTACCCTATATCCAGGGAATGTGGCTTAAGCCACATTTTTCAAATATATGAATAAATAGCAGAGACAGGATTGTTGTAATCACCAATAAGAATATCAGAACTCCAAAAATGGAACAGATATAACTCCAAAATTTCTACTGGACTGGGGGACCAATCCCTAAGGTGGCTTCATACGTCAATTGCTGAATTATGAAAATTGTCATCAGATAAAGTCCACAGTAGCCTGAGACTTACATGGGAGTCTCAATCAGAAGGGTCAATGTCTGACTTGAATATTCATGGTGTAGCAACTTAGTGCCTATTTGCATACCCCCCCCCAGGTACTATAATATCTGTATACCTATCTATCCATTTATCTATCTAGATAACTGATTTTAGAATGAAGTCTAAAAATTCCTGAGGACCTTAACCCTGAATACAAGTTTGAGGTAAAGGAAAGAGGGAAAGCAGGAGAAACTGAGTTAAATCTACCTTTCTAAGAACTCACATACAGTATGTGAATTATTACCATAGGAAAACCCCTCTGAGGTTTTCCCCCAAATTCTTCACTCTCCACAGGCTATTACAGGCACTAGCTGCAAGGCATTGCACAAAGAATATATATATATACAATGTTGAGATAGAGTAGTCCATTTCTAGTCAGGAACCAAAGGAGCTGAAGTGCAGGAAATAGAAACAAAGATAGGTAGAAGCTCAACTTGATTTGTGTCTCAGGGGATGGGCTTGCTCTTGGGTTTTCAGTTTCCCTCGATGAGCACAAAACAACAGGAAGAGACCAATGGAAGGTTCTTCGTACACATGCACATATTATCATGTATGTTTCTTATTGAAATTATCCCAAGAGGAGCCCATGGATGCCTGGAACTGCTGTTTATACCTAAGAGAGAAGGAAAACTTAGCCTTTTCCCTCACCAGTGATTGACAGACACTCACAACTGCTTGCTCTCAACTTACAATTGGCCAGATTCCAGAATGTTCCTCAACTATGTGTGCTCTCCAGCTAATATCACACTCTCAGTCACAATCTGTACAGAGGTTTAGAGTTGTTTAGAATTTTACGGTGGCTTTTCCCCAAAGAAATACCTACCATACATTATTATTTCCCAATTGTATAAGTAATAATGAGATTGTATTGCTGTCATGATATCCACTGCCTTTTACAACTATGAGTAAACACTCTGATAGTTCATGTGTGAACTATCAAACTATATCACCTTTTGTAAATTAGCTTTTGGGGATTTTTATTCGTTTCTTTCTTTTGAGGCAATAGTCTTTATTTTATTGATTCTTCTGAGGTCTTACAGATTGAGAACAATAATGTATGTTTTACCATGAGGTTAAATGTAATTTTAAATTTATCGTCATTAAAATATATTTTTGTATGTATAGATTTTTAGAAATATTCTAGGAAATTGTATCAATTGATTCTCATATGTTTTTCATCTTGGTATTTTGTTTTAAAGGAGTTTTTCTTGCATAAGAGGATTATTAATTTTCACTTATATACTATTTTAATGATTTCATGTTTTATTCCTTCATGTATATCTTTAATTCATCTGGAATTAATTTTACCTTACCTGTGACATATGGATGTTTTTATTTTCTATATAATTTGAGATTTTAGTTGTATTTACCTCATTAATTAAAGTGATTTTTTTAGGGATTTTAAGTTCTCAGTTGATTTTTCTTTATTATAATTTACTTATTAAACTTTAGTTTTATTACATTATGATGAATGAAAATTAGCTTCACCATGTTTATTTCATAATGTAATAATTTTAGTCTAATATGTTACTTTTATGATTACCCACTTTTGCTTTCTTTAATATACCTTTATCTAAACAAATGTCATACATTTATATTTTTTATCTCTTTTATGCCTTAATTGATTTTTTGATGTGTCCATTGTGAGACAGGGTCAAGATTAATTTTCTTCATTTTGAGAATCCAAATTACCTGAAATAATTTTTGACAAAAGCCATTCTTGCTTTCGTGCCCTGTAGTGTCATCACTATTATATCAATATATGTCATTCTATTTCTATACCTTCTATTCAGTTCCATTTTTCTGTCTTTGAAGACTCATACAAATACCACACTCACTAAATTACTATAGCTTCATAATAAGTTTTGATATCCGGTATTGTGAATCTTCTGGTTTTGTTTTACTTTTTTTTTTTTTTTTTGAGGTTCTCTTGACCATTTTGAGTATTCATTTCATTTCACCACACAGTGTAGGATCCACATGTCCATATCTACAAAACAAAATGCTAGGATTTTATTTGGCATTGTATTGAATCTATAGAAAAAAATGGAAGAGATTTCGCTTCCTTAAAATGGGCTTTTATTTCATGTTCACATTATAATCCTCAATTTTTATTTCTTTGGCAACTTTTATATTTCTCTGAAAATATTTCATTTCTATTGTAATGGTCTTATACAACTTAACTTACAATTAAATTCAGATCAAGGTTTCTCAACCTCAGAATTATTGAAATTTTGGGCAAAATAAGTGTTGTTGTGAAGGGCTATATCATGCATTATGGGGAGTTTAGCAGCTCCCCTGATTCTACCACTACATGCCAGGACCTAAGACATGCAACAGTATCCTCAGACATTGCCTAGATATCCCAATGGAGCAAAAGTGCCCCCAGTTGAGAGCCACTGTTCTAGATATTTAAGACATATTTAATTTTTATATTGAATCTTAACAAACATAAGTAGGCACAAAAGATAAGTGCACAAACCATCATACATGTAATTGTAGATCAAAATTATCATTGCTGTATAGTAACCCATTGTGTGAATATGCAGCAATTTACTTTTCATTCATTTGCAGATAGTCATCTGAATAGCTTCTGATTTTTGCCTATTAAAAATAATTTTTCTCTCCAGCAAACTGGTATTAACTGAGTAGCACCTAAGTGGACACATAGGTGCTACAGTAATAGGGTATTGGGGAGGTGGGAGGGGGGAGGGGGGCGGGTATATACATACATAATGAGTGAGATGTGCACCATCTGGGGGATGGTCATGATGGAGACTCAGACTTTTGGGGGGAGTGGGGGAAATGGGCATTTATTGAAACCTTAAAATCTGTACCCCCATAATATGCCAAAATAAAAAAAAATTAAAAAAAAAAACATAAATAAAAAAAATAATAATAATAACTTTTCTAGAAATATTGTTTAGGGTGTGCATCTATACACACACATATGGAAAAGCCTTTAACAAATTTACATATTATATATCATATGCTTTCTATTGCATACACCCTTGGATTAGTACACACATACAAACACTCAGGTCCAATAAAAACATTGAAAAGATATTTGAATAGTTACAACCAGAAAACAAATAACCTCTGATATTTGCTACTATTCTTAAACAATATCCCCATGGTCATAAATTCTTAATTTGTATGCACAAGAAATAAACCAGAAAACAAAAGTCTATTAAGAAGTAAAATAAAGCCGGGCGCTGTGGCTCACGCCTGTAATCCTAGCTCTTGGGAGGCCGAGGCAGGCGGATTGCTCAAGGTCAGGAGTTCAAAACCAGCCTGAGCAAGAGCGAGACCCTGTCTCTACTATAAACAGAAAGAAATTAATTGGCCAACTGATATATATATATAAAAAATTAGCCGGGCATAGTGGCACATGCCTGTAGTCCCAGCTACTCGGGAGGCTGAGGCAGAAGGATCACTCGAGCCCAGGAGTTTGAGGTTGCTGTGAGCTAGGCTGACGCCACAGCACTCACTCTAGCCTGGGCAACAAAGTGAGACTCTGTCTCAAAAAAAAAAAAAAAAAAAAGAAGTAAAATATATGTTTGACATAATCCTCTGTCCCTGAGGTACAATTAAAATATGTATGTTTTAAAAAGGTAAAAGAAACCTATTATAGAGAAATGAGTCAATAGAGCAGAATATAAGCATGTTCATCATAAATAAAAAGCTAGTTCTGATTTTTAAAATTTCTTAGAAAAATCTATGAAAGAAATATAACTTACCAAATGGTTTTCAATATTTAACATAGACAATTATGCATGCAATAAATTTCACATGGATAACTAAGTCATATTACTTCTTTTGAACAATGTAGAACATGTATTTTCTAGTGTTTAATCTCTCTGAAAATGTTCCACTTGTCGTTAAGTTTCAACAGAGCGTTTTTCACGTCTTTGTTCCTCAGGGTGTACACAACAGGGTTGAGAAGGGGTGTCAGCACAGTGTAGAAAACTGCCACAACACCATCCACAGCTTCCCTGGAGCCTGGCCTCAGATAAATGAAAACACAGGGAACAAAGAAACAAAGGACCACGGTACAGTGGGAGGCACACGTCTGAAAGGCTCTGTGTCTCCCCTCTGAGGTGCGGATCCTCAGGATGGAGCAGACGATGGACACGTAGGACAGTGCTATCAGGAGAAAGCAGCCCGAGGCCACCACCCCAATATTGACAAAGATGACCATCTCGTTGGCCGAGGTGTCCGCACAGGCCAGTTTGAGGATGGGTGGGGCATCACAGAAGTAGTGCTGGATCTGGCTGGGCCCACAGAAGGGCAAACGGAATGTCAGTATGGTCTGGACAGCAGAGTGCAGACAGCCACTGAGCCAAGTGCTGGTGGCCAGGAGGGCACAGGTTCTCCCACTCATCATGCTGGCATACCTGAGTGGGTAAGTGATGGCCAGGTAGCGATCATAGGACATGACCGTGTAGAGGAAACACTCTGTGCTCCCCAGGAGGTGGAAGCAATAGAGCTGGGCCATGCAGCTGTGGAAGGAGATAGCTCCGCCACCCGGGGACACCAAGGTCATGAGCATTTTGGGCACCGTGACAGTGGAGAACCACATGTCAATGAAGGACAGGTTGGTGAGGAAGTAGTACATGGGGGTGTGGAGGTGAGAATCCAGCCTGATCACCAGCAGGATGAGGAGGTTCCCCAGCACGGTGAGCACATAAATCACCAGGAAGATTCCAAAGAGGGGGGTGTCCAGCGCTGGGGCATGGGGAAGGCCCCTGAGGATGAACATCGTCACAAGGCTCACGTTTGACATTTCTTCTCACCCTTGATCTCTCTGCCTATGGGAATATAGAGACCACTGAGAATTTAGCAGTTAATTGAGAACTAAGTGTCCATTCTCTATGTGGAAACTGTATCAAGCATGATAATTATTTCAAGATTATACTAAAGTTTGCTGGTTACAAAGCTTCTTCAGAAAGAGTGATGATGAAATGATTTCATTGTCTCTCCCGTACACATGCACAGAGACACTCACACAGAAAGACACACACACACAGAAGAAAGTAGGAAAAAATACATTGTATCAGAACTGTCTTGGTGTATTAAAAATTACCACAAAGTTAATGGCATAAAATATGCATATTCATTATTTCACCCTCTCTGTGGGTCAGACCAGCAGGGCCCTTTGCTCCTTGTCTCACCAGGTTTTAATCCAGGTGTCAGCTGGGACTGCAATCTCATCTGAGGCTCAGTATTCTCTACCACGCTTCCTGAGGGTGTTTTCAGGATTCTGCTCCTTACAGTTTTAGGATTGAGTTCCCAGTTTTATTCTTGTTGCGCCCTAGGTCCAAGGATCGTAGCCTCCTGGCCTTTACAGTATGCCAGATTCTTCAAAGGCAGCATGAGAATCTCTTTCCAGTTTGCTGTGACAGTCTCATGTAGTATAATATACTTGAGGGTTGATATCCCATCATATTTCTAGGTCTCACCCACAGTCAAACGGAGGTTATTAAATAGGGAGTGTGGACTAGTGGGTAAAAGTCTTGGTGTTTACTTGCAATCTTACCTTTCATATCCTATTTTTGTTGCAGGGTTATGGGAAAACTGAAAACCACAAGAATTTGTTGGTAGCAATGATACATCAAAAGTCCTCATAATGGTGTACCTAAACCATTCTCTAATTTCCTCATAATTTAGTTGGCATTACTAACATCGTTTCCCTCACTTAGAAGTTGTATGGATTAAATAGGATGATACATTTAAAGTACTTACCACAATGCCTGGCACTGAATAACTGCTTGGTAAATGACAGTGCATCATATAGAACATTGTGCCTTACAACAGTATTGCAGAATTGTCTTTTTTGATTTTACAAAGAGAAAAATAAGTAAATTCTCTCAATGTTTCCAGAAACTTTTTGCCAATTTAATAGCTAGGTCTTGTGGAATATTTGATCCCTGCTATTGTTACTGTTCCCTCCCCCACTGCCACTGCTTGCTTTCAAAAGGGTTCTCTCAGATCTTTCACAGCAAGTAGGAATCTCAGCAAAACTACTTATTGGGATACCCTACAACCTCCTAAATGATCTGCACAACTCAAGGCCTCGTGCAAGTCTGACCCTTGGTTTCTCTTACATTTTACCAGCCCTGTGAGGTCTAGCAGATGATGTTTGTTACGTGCTGTCCTGACTACAATCTACTGGACACGGCCAGCTTTCTACCACAAACCCTTCTATCATAGATGTGTAAGTTTTTTCTAATATGGGCTTTGTTAGATTTCATGTTTCTCCCACCATCTCCTACTCCTCATGCTCAGAATCCCAAGAAATACTCTCATAACAGGAGACAATTCCCTCAAGTCAGTATTTATGACCTGAGATAGGAAAATAGACCTAATCAAAAGAAGGAGAGCATGTTTGCTTGGTGTCAAGAGAAGTTGGGATTATCTACCATTGAATTTGAGACAGAAATGAGGTTTTTGACTAAACACAAAATGTTCTCTTAGTTCAAGAGTGTTATTAATTGTTCAGTGAGAAGAGACAGAAACTGGTTCACCAAAACAAGAGAAACTAAGATCTCTGCTCTTAGCAAAGGCCCAGGGAATGTGGCTCAAATTACATTAAGGCTGTATTTTTCAAATAGGAGAATAAATAGCAGGGACAAGATTATTATAATTACCAACATGGATATTAGAACTCCAAAAATGAAAAAAATATAACAAATTTTTACTGTTTCTGGAAGATAAATTCCCATGATAACTTCATTATCAGATTTGATGAAATAAGAAAATTTTCATCAGGTGAAATCCAAGGTAGTCTAAGACCTAAGGCAAGATCCTCAATCAACAGGGTGGATGTTTACTTGAGTATTCGTGATATAGTAACTTAGTCTCCTTAGTTTCTACTTGTATCTTCTCAGTTATCATCTATCTATCTATCTATCTATCTATCTATCTATATCTATGTATCTATCCCTCTATCTACCTAGATAACTGATTTTAGAACACAGTCTAACAATTCCCAAATATCTTAGTTCTGAAAGAAAGTTTTGAGGTAAAGGAAAGAAGGAAAGCAGAGGCAACTAAGCTAAACCTACCTTTGTAAGAACTCACCTTACATTATGTGAATCATTTCAGTAGTAAAACTCATCTGAGGTCTTTCCCCAAATATTTTTACTCTCCACATGCTATTCACAGGCATGAGCTGCAAGGCATCGCTCAAAGAACACGTACACAGTGATGAGATAGAGAGGTCCATTTCTAGTCAAGAACAAAACTAGTTGAAGTGCAGGGAACAGAAACTAACATGGGTAGGAGCTTAATTTGGTTTGGGTCTCAGGGGTTGGGATTGCTCGTGGGTTTTCAGGTTCCCTCAATGAGCACAAAAACAACAACAGAAGACCAGGGGAAGGTTCGTCATAAGCACACAGATATCTCCCTGTGTGTATCTTGTTCGAATCCTCCTGGGATAAGTCATATCTTCCTGGAACTAATATTTATACCAAGGTGAATAAAAGAGGACTTAACCTTTCCTTCTCCAGTGATTGACAGACACTCACAACTGCTTGCTTCCAACACAAAATTTCTAGACTCCATAGATTGTTATCACCTTGTTGTGAAAAAGATAGCTAAAGATAGCTCAATATACTGTCTCTTTCACCATCTTTTTATGGAGATTTAAAACATCCAAATTTCCAAACTTTTCTGTTATTGTTGTTTATGGCTTTTGAGTGACATTTTCCTCAAAAATTTCCATGGATACATAATTTATTTTTCAATTATATAAGTAACAATTACCATTTATTGCTAACATAATTTTCATTGCCATAACAAGCATGAGGAAACAGTTAAAATATTTTATAAGTGTATATTCTTGCCTTTTGTTAATTAGCTTTTCATAAACTTTCATTTCTGTCTTCATGGTAATAATGTTTTTAAATTCTTTTCTATACATTTAAAAATAAAGACATTAATTCATTAATTTATTGTAAGGTAAAATGGTCTTTCAAATTTGTCTTTTAAAAATTCTTTTCTACACATTTTTTTAATGTTCTAGGAAATTTTGCCAATCAATTTCAATATGGTTCTTGATGAGAGTGATGTTGGTGATGTTTGCTTTAAGAAGGTTTTCCTTACAACCAACATTTATCAGTGTTCACTTATAAAATATTTAATGCTTTGAGCTTTACTTTTCTTCCTTTGGAATTAGTCTTACTTTGGCTGTGGTTGTAATATAAAGATGTTTTTTATTTTTATAATTTGAGATTGTAGGTATAATTACTTCATGAACATGTTTTCTTAGGAATTTTAGTAAAGTTCCTAATTTTTATTTTCCTTATTATAATTTTCTTATTAAGCTCTAGCTTTATTTGATATTTATTATCATAAAAGAAAAGGAGCTGTAAAATTTATATTTCACAATGTATTACTTTTATGGTTAGCCTCTTTGTTTTCTTTTTAGTTAAACAAATGTCATAAAGACTACCACATTTATATCTACAATCTAGCGCCAATTAATTTTTCTATGTGTACATTGTAAGATAGTGTCAAGATCTTTTTTTTTACACGTGAATACCCAATGAATCCAAAATAACTTATTGAAAAAGCCAGTCTTTCTCTGTTGCGTTACAAGTTATCTTTGTCATATGAATCTGTATCAATCTATTTTTTATTCTCTATTCTGTTTCCCTGTCCTATTTGTCTAGCCTCATACAAATTCTGCACTCTCTGAATTACTACAGTTTCATAATAACTTTTGATGTCTGGTATTGTGGATCTTCCAGTTTTATTTTATTTCTTCTTGAATATGTTGACCATTTTGTGACCCATTTAATTTCAATAGACACTCTGAGATCTATGTGTCCAAATCTACAAAATCAAAGGCTGGGATTTTATTTGGAATGGCATTGAATCTATAGAACAATTTGAAGCAAATTGGCATCTTTAAAATATTGACTCTTCCAATCAACCACCACATTGTAATCCTTCATTTCTTCAGCAACTTTTACATTTCTCTATAAATATCTTGTTATTTCTATTGTTTGGTCTTACACATCTTTATGCCGGCAAAGATATGAACCAAAGAAGCTCTCTGATACTTCTAATTAATATGAAAATTGGCACAAGCACCAGGTCTTCAAGACAGCTACAGATATTTATACCTTATGGTCCAGTAGTTCCTTTCCAGGGGCCTACATAAATTTTGCACATATGTGCTTTGTGCCATGTAAAAAATATGCTTAGCACTTCCGCTTGTGTATAGCAAAAACCCATTAACATTCAAATGTTCAGAGAAAGAAAGAACAATGTGAAAGAAGAGAGAGAAAAGAAAAAAGGGAAGAGAGAAAATGTGTTTTATTCATAAGTAGCTACGACAGAATCAAATAAAAGGCAAATAAGCTACAGCTACAACCATCAAAATCAATGATTTTCAAAAATATAATTTTTAGGTAGGAGAACTGTTGTATGATTCCATCCACATAAAGTTCAAAGACAGGAATGAACACATAGTTAATAAACTTATAAAGAAATTAAGGCAAAGGTTAACAGAAATTTCAGAATACGTATTATTTCTGGTAGGGAGAAGAGAGAATACCATAGGAGAAAAGAAGAAAGGATATTCCAGTGACTTTTTAACATTTTATTCTTCAACTGGATTTGGTTACATATATTTTGCTTTACCATCAGTATATAAATATATGTAATTATGTGTGCATGTGCGTATGTGTGCGTACACATGCAGGTATTTTGTATGTAGAAATTGCTTATGGATTTTGCATTTGGAAACTTTGACACATTAAAAGTATTTATTAGTTGACATCACTGTGCTAATATATT